AGCTGTCCAATTAATTTCTTTCTATTTTTGGTAGAGACGGGGTCTCGCTCTTGCTCAGGCTGGTTTCGAACTCCTGAGCTCAAACAATCCTCCCGCCTCTGCCTCCCAGAGTGCTAGGATTACAGGCGTGAGCCACCGCGCCCGGCCCATCTGTTTTCTTAATATATGTATATGCCCTACACCCAATGCAGGTACCCCATCCCACTTGGTCAAAATGTACTGTTTTTTATCCTGAGAGAAAATATAGAGATATTTAGATTTTCCTATTTTTCATGTTAAGTTTTAGTAATTTGTGTTCTTTTAAGGAATTTCATCTAACCTGTCAAATTATTGGTATAAGGTTTTCAATAATATTGGTATATTATCCTTTTAACTTTTGTATATGATGTCTCTTTTCATTCCTGGTATCCATGTTATTGATTCTTTTTTTTTCCCCCCAAAAAATAAGTATTTGATTTTGTTGTTGATTTTTCTCTATTTTCTACTTCATTGCTGTCAGCTCTTTCCACTTTCTACTTAGTTTTAATTTGCTCTTTTTCTAGCTTCTTTAGAAGCTTCGATTATTAACTTTAGACTTTTGTTTTTTAATGTAAGCATTTAAAGCTATACATGTTCCTCTAACACTACTTCTGCTACATTCCACAAATATTGACATTTTGTATGTTCGTTTCCATTCAGTTCAATATAATTTGTAATTTCTTTGTGATTTCTATTTTGATCCATAAGTTATTCAGTATGATTTTATGTTTCCAATTATTAGAAGATTTTCATGATTTCTCTCTATTATTTATCTCTAGTTTAATTTTGTTGTGAAGAGGGAATATACCCCATGTGATCTCAATCTCTTTACATTTGTCGAGACCTATTTTATGGCCCAGTATATGGTCTGTTTTGGTTAATATTCTTCATGCACTAAGAGTATATGTTCTGTTCTTATTGAGTAGAGTGTTCCTTAAATGTGAATTAAATCAAATAGTTTAATAGTGTTCAAATTTTCTACATTCCAACTGATTTTCAATCTACGTGCTCTGTTGATTACTGAGAGAGGAGTATTGAAACCTCCAGCGATAATTATGGATTCTTCTATTTCTCTTTTCAAGTCTATTAGTTTTTGCTTCAGGTACTTTGAAGATCTGTTAGGTACATGCATATTTAAAATTCTGATTTTGTTGAATTAACCCCTTTATCATTATGAAATGTCCTCTTTAAGGTAATATTTCATATTGTGAAATCTACTTTGATATTAATATAGCCACTAGAGTTTTGTTAGATTAATATTTGCATGATACATCTTTTTCTATCCTCTAATAATCTTTAACCTGTTTGTGTCTTTAGACTTACGGTGACTTTCTTGTAGACAGAATATAGTAGGGTCTTGCATTTTATTCATTGTGACAATCTGCCTTTTAATTGAAATATTTAGACCATTTACTTTTAGTGTAGTTAATTGTCAGTATGGTTGGATTCATATCTGCTTTGTTTTCTATATGTTTCATCTGTCCTTATCGTTTTTACTTTTCCTGCTTTCTTTTAGATTGAGTATTTTTAATACTATGTCCACTATTAGCTTATTAGGTGTACGTTTTGTTTTATGAAATTTGGTAGTCGCTCTTGGGTTTATAATGTGTATCTTTAACTTAACATAATTTACCTTCAATTAATAATATTTCATTGTGATATAAGGTTCTTAAAATAGAATGCTTCCATTTCTCCTGTCCAGTCCTTTGTGCTATTGTCATACATTTTACCTCTATATTAAAACTCCATGATAACATTGTTAACATTTTGCTTAAAACAGTCAATTTTTGTAGAGAAATTTAAAAGTTGTTGGCCAGTTCTTTACATTAACATACTTAAGGAACTATGCAAGGACCTATTACATTAATCTTTTGATGAATCTCATAACTAAATTTGTAATATAAAAGATGCTTATTGAGGGAATATAGCCTGAGAAATGGTTGAGACTGTTGTAAAAATTTAAAAAATATGAAATCCAGATTTGTTTGGTGTCTATCCTTTCATTCAATAACTATTAAATGCCTTCTCTGCCAGATATGGTGCTGGGCATTAAGAATTCAGCAGTAGAAAAGACCAAAAAAAAAAAAGAAAAATCCCTTAATGGAGCTTGTAGTGTAATAGTGAAAAGAAACAATAAACAAGACAAATATGTAAAATGTAGCATGGCATATAGTGACAAGTTCTGAGAAGATATAGTAAATCAGAGAAGGACCTAGGCAGTGTCAGGCAGTTTGGAAGAAGTGGGTGGGGACCTACAACTTTTAGATAAAGTGGTTGGGGTGGCTTCACTGAGATGTGACAGTTGAGTAAACACCTCAGGGAGGTGGAGGATAGCAAGCAAAGTGGATTTTAAATGTTCTGAGGCTCACACTGAATATAATATAACATTAATCATGTGAAAACTTAACTATTATAATAATAAAAATAAATAAAATGGTGGCAATAAAATTTAACTACTAAAGGTGCAGAATTGTCTTTTTTTTTTTTGAGACAGAGTCTCCCTCTGTCACCTAGGCTAGAGTGTCGTGGCATCAGCCTAGCTTACAGCAACCTCAAACTCCTGGGCCCAAGTGATTCTCCTGCCTCAGCCTCCCAAGCAGCTGGGATTACAGGCACACACCACCACACTCAACTAATCACAGTTATCTTTAATTTTACAATTAGACTGAACTCCCAAGGCAGCATTTTTTGTTTTCAATATCTAGGCTGTAGAAAATGGAAGAAATATTCAAAGCAACTTCAGAGAAAGACTTTTCTTTCAAAACCGTACTAATGGAAGCATTAAGGCTCTGTGCCATGATGAAGCCTTGCAAAAGTAATTATTCTGATTACACTAATAGCTTCTGGCCTAGAAAAATGTAGGAAAGCATTAGCTCTATGACAGGGTACTAAATTAATTTCTAAAGAAATATGATTCACTTGTTTTCCATCAACATTTATTTTTGGTTTGTCAGTCGCTTGTTTAACTTCTTTAAACAGAGAATATAAAATGAATATTTAAATGCAAATGCCTTTTTATTCACGAGAAATGAAATGACATACTCCAAGGTCTCAATCTTGTCCTAACTGATGTGCAAAGTCAGAGTTTAATGAAACAGCTGTTAAGAACTATTCTGGCCCTTCAAGTAAATAAGTAAAGCTATTGTCTGGGCAACAGGATGGGAACATGATAATAAACTAATCCCTCTAGCATATTATAGCTGTTTATTGGCCAAGGTCTAGAATATATGTGTTAGAAGTAAACAAATGCTTTAAAGTATTACATAATACAACAAAGTGCACAATTTTTGCCCATGTAATCACTGTCTACCTTAAAATACAGTGCTTTCCTTGTACCCTAAAAAGCTACTCTGATGACCTAGTCATTATGTACTTATTCCCTTTCACCAAAGGTAATCACTATTCTTACTTCTCTCACCATAGATTAGTTTTGGTTGTTTTTAAACTTTATGTAAAATTATACATTATGTAATCTTTTGTGTCCAACTTCCACCAGAAATTCCATGAGATTCATTATTGTTACGTAGAACAATATTTTATTCTTTTTCATTCCTATATAGTATTCCATTATATGAATATTCTATAATTTATTTATCCATTCTACCATTGATGAAAATTCGAGTTGTTTCCAATATTGGGTTATTACAAATAATGTTGCTCTGAACATTCTTGTAGATGTCTTTGGGTGTATAGTATGCCAATATAATTTTAAAGATGTTACTGTTATTTAGTTCTGTGGCACTGAGACAAATACTAATTTACTGGATAATTTTAAATCACATAATACTAATTTAGCTTCTGTAATGTAACTAATTAGTGTACAAAGTGTCAACACTCCCCTGGTAAGAGCACCAGGGAAACTTGTTGGTCAGACAAAGCTTATTGGTTATTGGATGGCCGCCGTGGCTCACGCCTGTAATCCTAGCACTGTGGGATGCTGAGTCGGGAGGATGGCTTAAACTAAGGAGTTTGAGACCAGCCTGAGCAAGTGACCCTGTCTCTACTAAGAATAAAAAAAATTAGCCGGGCAACTAAAAATAGAAACACAAACTTAGCCAGGCATGATGGTGAGCACCTGTAGTCCCAGCTACTTGGGAGGCTGAGGCAGGAGGATCGCTTGAGCCCAGGAATTTGAGGTTGCAGTGAGCTGTGCTGACGCCACAGCACTCTACCCAGGGTGACTGAGCAAGACTCTGTCTCAAAAACAAAACCACAAAACCCTCCCCCAAAGCCGTGGTTATTAACCTTGCCAAATGGGGGAGGACTACTTTGATAGTTACAGTAGTGTGTCAAAAGGAGGGAATTGGGGAAGAGCACTTCTATGGGTTTAGGGGCTAGGGTAAATTACAGGGTAGTTTTATCATACTTTTCTATTATAGCTTCACCATCTAGACAACATTAGTGTTCTAATAGTTCTTTTGCAAATGCTACCACTAATTCTAAGAACCTTGTATCAGTCTTTCTGTTTAACATCTACACATTTCAACTTAATTATTTGGAAACGATGACGTTATTAATGAAAAGAAGCCATAATTAAATATACTAAAAATTATTGAATTGTACATTTTAAATGGGTGAATTTTATGGTGTGTAAATTATATTCTCATGAAGCTTTTAAAAAACAAAAGAAAACAAAACAAGAAACTGTGGTTAAAAGTTCAGAGACCATGCTGTCCAGCCATGTGAGAGCACAATAAAAAGAAGAAAGAAAAAAAAAGTTCAGAGACCAGGCTGGGCATGGTGGCTCATGTCTGTAATCCTAGCCCTCTGGGAGGCCGAGGCGGGAAGATCGCTCAAGGGCAGGAGTTCAAGACCAGCCTGAGCAAGAGCGAGACCCCGTCTCTACTAAAAATACAAAGAAAGTAGCCAGACAACTAAAAATAAATAGAAAAGGAAAAAATTAGCTGGGCATGGTGGCGCATGCCTATAGTCCCAGCTACTCCGGAGGCTGAGGCAGGAGGATTGCTTGAGCCCAGGAGTTTGAGGTTGCTGGGAGCTAGGCTGATGCCACGGCACTGTAGCCCTGGCAACAGAGTGAGACTCTGTCTCAAAAAAAAAAAAGTTCAGAGACCAAAGTTGTAGGCCCACCTCATCTATAAACTAGCTATTTATTCAGCCAGTAAAATATTTGAGAACTTGTTGATACAGGAAATCAACTAGCAAGCTAAACTGGCATGGTCCTAATAGAGTATTGCTAGGAGAGAGAGAGTATGAGCGTGCATGTAGGTTTAGGAGGAGACATAGTTCATGCAGTAGCATATGCCTGGTAGCTGAAGACTGTGAAGAATGCCTGTGTGACCAGAGTGGAGGGAGAGAGCATAGCAGAGCGTAGTGCAAGATGAAAGTGCAGGTTATGCATGGAGGCCATATAAAAGAGTTTTGTCTCTTTTTTTAGAGCAATGGAAAACCATTGAGTTTTAAGGGTAGGGGAGTGGTAACATCATATTTCTGTCTTGGAAAGGTGCTTTCGGGTGCATTATTAGAGAATTTGGATTAGAGATTACATGAGGTGAGAGATGATGGAAACTTGAGACTAATGAGGAAGAAGGAGCTGTCAAAATGATCCCTAGATTTATAGAGGCCAGAACTACAAGAAAAGAGGATGTCTTTGTAAACTGAGACTTACAGAATTTTAGGGTAGGGTGTTCCAAAATTACCTACCCTCTTATTGACTCACTTTTAAAATAACAGACTATATTAAATCAGAGTGAAAGATCAGGCATATTTTCATATTTATTTGCAATATAATCTTCTGCCATTTATTTAATTTTTCATAATGCAATGAGGCTGAGGGGATTTATAAATACAATATGATTTGCTTTCCTATATTATCTTTGTTTCAACAACTGTGATTTTGTTTTATTCCCCTCAGTATTTGATTTTCATCAAGCTGCTGATGGCATCCAGGAACAACAGAGACAAGAACAAGCAGGAAAAAAGTATGATTTTGGCGGGGGGGTGGGGTACAGTTTAAGCATATCCAGATCTTACATTTAAATTCCAGGTCCTAAGTTTAAGAAAAATAAGTATTGGAATATCCTGTTTAGCTTTTAAAGAAAATCAATAGGATTGTGAAAATATGCTTATAGAAAATAGCATAAACAGAAAATAGTCATGCGTAACTATTCTTTGTGATGATCTGACCACAAGACCTATTACTTCTTTCTCATCTGACTCAAAGCTTGTTTTGATTTGTTTTTAAGTTTGGGTACCACAAAAAAGGGCATTGGCCCAGTTTATTCTTCCAAAGCTGCTCGAAGTGGACTTAGGATGTGCGATCTTGTTTCTGACTTTGATGGCTTCTCTGAGAGGTAACTAAGTTGTGTTTCAAAGTTGAAAGAACGAATGGGTTTTTAGGATGTTTAAAATCCAGGGTGTAAAGTCAGTATTCTAGTTAAATAGTGGTGGTTGGCTTTTTTAAAATTTGAAATACTGGTTATTTTTGTTACATTTATTGGTCCTTAATTTCAGATTAACTTCATGAAAAATAACATGATGATGATTTAATAGTAGTATCCTAGGAAGACAAAACCAGAGTTATATTTAAGGATCAAATATAGAATGGTTTGCTGAGAAATAGAATGATTCTAGGGGGTATGGCAGTATTTTGGGATGATCACTACATTCGGAGTTTAATCCTTGGATTATCAGGTCCAAATACTCCATTCTGTCTTCCCATTAGCCTCTCAGGTAATGGTGAGTTGTTACATACCAGGCCTACCTTGAAAAATAGAAATGCCACATTGACACATACTTTCTGTATACAAATCTCTGTGGGAAACCTAATAATCATCAAAAAGCTAAACAGTGATTTAGTCATAGGTAGTTAGTTGGCATCAAATGTATAGTAACATACTGTATCCTTTTTCAATCAACTGTTTATATTTGCCTGCACTGGCAGGATACCTCCACTGAAGAATATTAGGGACAAACTCTTTTATGAGCATCATGTAGACCATCCCTTTTTGTTTTTTATACAGTGTAATACAGTTAATTCAGATTTAAGTCTTTGTGTTTACAGATTGCAGTCATTCCATCCTTCTTTCTTCCTACACATACATCACCCTAATTATATTGTTGATATTCCCAAACTTGAGTAAAAAATATTTTGAATCTATCATTTATTCATATGGCTGATCTCCTTTATTAGATTTTATTTCTTAGAAGGTAAATTTAGTTCCATTTATCAGGTACAGAAATCATTTGAATTGTACAACATTATTTGAGATACTTTTTTAAAGAGAGGTAATATCTCGATTTATCTGTATTTCTCAGGTTCAAAGTTCTAGCTAACCATTACAAATCTATATACCCCACTTTGGAAATAGACATTGAAGGTGAATTACAAAAACTCAAGGTAATGCTTTCTGACCTCTTTAATGTTCTTTTTAACACTTTTTTGCCAAAGTGACATCTAGATCTTTCATTTATTCAGACTGTGTGTAAGAACTGGTAAAGGACATTATTTGTCCTGGATATGGTATGTTTGAGTGACTTCACACAATGTGGCTTAGACAGAATTTTGGGTGGGGAGCAGGGAGCAGGAGTAGTACCTGAAGATAAAAGTAGACAAGAAGGAATGTCTTATGTGCAATGATAGGAAACTTAGCTTTTATCCTGGAGATAATGAAAAGCTATGGGTAATTTTGAGCAGAAGGAAGACTAGATTTGTATTACATAAAAATCACTGATAGCAATTGGAGTATAGGTTAACAAAGAGATGATAACTTTTCAAGCTAACCAGCCCACTTAGAAATGATACCCCATAGGGTCAATTTCTTTAACACTGTACTCTTAAGAGACAAATAAGGTAATTGGCCAAAGATTAGGCCCCATTTGGCAACTCTTAGTTGTCAGTTGTGCCTAAGCTAGTCAGCAGTTGAGATTCCTGTCTTCTCCACCCTTCTGTTCCCCACTATTTTTGGTGAATCTCAAATCTGATTATTACTCCATCTATCATTTCCAGACCTGACTAGGAATCTACAAATATCATATGCCATTTTAGAATGTTTGCAGACCTTAGTTCTGCCCACTTACTGAGTTCTAAAAGGTAGTGATCTCCAAGGAACATTCTAAATTGTTAGGTATTTGTATTGCAGTGCACTGATTGCTGCTTAAAATAGACTGCCATTTTCTTTTCTTTGTCTTATGCAACAAATATTTTAAATTTCTTACTAACCACTTGGAAATATCTATGTGCTAAAGTGTGAGTATGGCTTTTCAATTCCATTTTATAAATGTTCCATGTAAATATAAAGTAGATGAAGAATAATAAACAGAATTGGGTAATAAGATTCTTATAGGTGATATATATTAACCAGGACCTTAAGGAACAAAGGACATGATAAATTGTGTGGTCAATTCAGGCAAAAAAAAAAAAAAGGACTAAAACAGCAATAAACAAGTGATTGGAGACTAGAGCCATACATTCATAAATGGGTATTACATACTGAGGTGGGTTCATGAATGGATTCCGGAATTTCCATACTAGTCTAAATATTTAAGCATAGTTGAAACTAGGTTTTATTACAGTTATACACCATAGGCCTTAAGGGAAGCTCTTGTTTATATTATATTTTAAGTTGAATTCTAAAAGTAAGTAGTATTACTAACACTTTAAATATGTTTTGAGAAATTTTTATGATGCTCTTGTATAAAATAGTACTCGATGTTATATACTAGTAATACTGCAGAGATAATTGCAGTAATGAAATACAGTGAAAAAGAATAATACAGTCAATCACTGCTATTTACATGCTTGGCAGTGCAACTTGTGGCCCTCGCCACATTTTGAGAATCACTGATGCAAGTATCAAAATTAATGGTTACGTGGATTATAAATACAGCTTTTCAGATACCTCACAAAGTTTAAAAGCACAATGTATAGTATACATAGTCATTTCTTTTTATTTTCCTGAAAGCTGGCTTATGAAGTATGAGTACTTTTGCTTTTGTCAATTTTCAGTCATTAAGTTGGGTCATTTATACTTATACTGGTTATGTTGTAAATTGTTTTTTGTCTTTATGTATAGGGTTATATGGAAAGGATTAAACCAATGGTAAGAGATGGAGTTCATTTCCTATATGAGGCCCTACATGGACCACCAAAGAAAATCTTGGTAGAAGGGGCAAATGCAGCACTTTTAGATATTGATTTTGGTAAGTGAGATATGATTTAGTTAAGGGAGCTTAAGTGAGCCTAACTACTTAACATATAAATAGTTAATGATGTTAGCATTAAGGAGTTTTAAAACAATACACAAGCTTTATTCAGGAATGCTGGAAGTTTGTCATCTTATGCCAATCATTTTTTAAAGGAATATTATGGAAAACACAATACATGTGTTAAGTTTTCTAGTCCATATGAAGAATGAAATCATTTGGGTTCAATAGGTTTGGGGATCTATACATTGTGGTTTTCATTGTTTGGTTCATGGTTCAATTCCAGACCTCATTTTCCTGGAACTATAAGATGGTAAGATGAATTCTATGAAAGAATCTTCATCTTTAATTAAACATTTTTTAAAAATATACATTATTATTGAACATGCATATTCTAAGATTTATAAAAGTCTAGTTATATTAATTATTATGTTGGTACAAAAGTAATTGCAGTTTTAGCATTGTTCAAATTTGCCGTTTGATGTTGGAATACATTCTTAAATAAATGTGGTTATGTTATACATCATTTTAATGTGCATTTCTCTCTTTATGGTTTTTTGGTAATGACTTATTACTTGCTGTTTATTTTATATTTATTTTAGACTATGAAAATGATGTTAGACAAAAAGCAAATTCAAGTGATTTTCTTATTGGAGTGCAAAATGGGTCATAAAGCAGCTCAGACAACTCCCAAAATCAATGATGCATTTGGCCCAGGAACTGCTACTAAACGTACAGTGCAATGGCGGTTCAGGAAGTTTCGCAAAGGAGAGGAGAGCCTTGAAGATGAGGATCGTAGTGGCTGGCCATTGGAAGTTGACAACGACCAATTGAGAACAATTGTCGAAGCTGATCCTCTTACAACTACACGAGAACTTGTCGAAGAACTTAACGTTGACCATTCTACAGTCGTTTGGCATTTGAAGCAAATTGGAAAGGTAAAAAAGCTCGATAAGTGGGTGCCTCATGAACTGACCAAAAATTTAAAAAATCGTCGTTTTGAAGTATTGTCTTCTCGTGTGCAACGATGAACCCTTTCTCGATCAGATTGTGAAGTGCAATGAATAGTGGGTTTTATACGACAACCAGCTCAGTGATTAGACTGAGAAGAAGCTCCATAGCACTTCCCAAAGCCAAACTTGCACCAAAAAACGATTACGGTCACTATTTGTTGGTCTGCTGGCCTGATCTACTACAGCTTTCTGAATCTTGGCAAAACCATTACATCTGAGAAGTATGCTCAGCAAATTGATGAGATAGATGCACTGAAAACTGCAACGCCCGCTGCTGGCATTGGTCAATAGAAAGGACCCAATTCTTCTCCATGACAACGCCTGACACGTTGCACAACCAACACTTCAAAAGTTGAACAAATTGGGCTATGACGAAGTTTTGCCTTATCCGCCATATTCACCTGACCTCTCGCCACCCAACTATCACTTCTTCAAACCACTTCTTCAAGCATTTCAACAACTTTTTGCAGGGAAAATGCTTCCACAACTAGCAGGACACAGAAAATGCTTTCCAAGAGTTCGTCGAATCCCAAAGCACAGATTTTTACGCTACATGGATAAACAAACTTATTTCTCATTGGCAAAAATGTGTTGATTGTAATGGTTCCTATTTTGATTAATAAAGATGAGTTTGAGCCTAGTTATAACGATTTAAAATTCACAGTCTGAAACTGCAATTACTTTTGCACCAACCTAATAACTTCCTGGGCATGAGACCTTCTGGATGGATTTGGAGCATTTCCTCCATCTTCAAAAGGTTAATGCTTAACTTCTTCAAACTACTGCCCCATTAGTTTGTTGACCATTTCATCTAAACATGATTTCTCATGATTGATCTGATTCTTCTCAGCTCTTACTGACAGTCGATTGGCTTATGACTCCAAGTAAACCAATTAAAGTAAGCATATATATTTCTATTTAGTAGGTATGTGTTTTTGAGACCACAATATGCCTAGCCAATCTGGAAAAAAAGCAGAATGTCTAATTAGCAGAGTGAATAGTTAATTATGAAGGGGACTTTTGGGGGCAAAAAATTATGCTGCTCTTAAGTTACTCTTGTAATGTGGGGGTTATTTCCTGAACAGAAGTTAAAAGCTGGGGAAATGTTGGCTAACACAAAATTCTTAGTGTGTTGCTGTCACTCCAGGTTGCTACTGCGCCTTAAATATTCATGTCAGTGAGTCATTTGTTTTAAACCAACAGGAGACTTAAAATACACAGATGGGTTTTGGCATTAAATTCTTTCATAGTCCATTAAGCGAGTACCTTCCATACAGCGCTGAGCTAGTAACTGTGAGTGCAGTCCAGGAGCCTCTCCGGTGTAAGCACTTCAGTTAAAGCTCTAACCACCTACGCATTTATCTCATTACAGAAAAAAAGAAGAATAAAATACGGAGGCTTTGAGAGGGTGGTTAACAGTTATGTTCAAATGTGTCGGATACTTAGAATATATTCAAATACAGAATTTCAATGGTAATTCTGTTTTAAGATGTGATGTGTATGTATATGTGTACTGTATTGTAATGTTTGTCTCTATTTTTAGGGACTTATCCTTTTGTAACGTCTTCAAACTGTACTGTTGGAGGTGTTTGTACCGGTTTGGGTATGCCCCCTCAAAATGTTGGGGAAGTGTATGGAGTTGTGAAAGTTTACACAACTAGAGTTGGTATTGGTGCCTTTCCTACAGAGCAAAACAATGTAAGTGTATTTCTCAGTAAATCTAATTCAAAAAGTATTAAAATAACTATTCGAGGCTGGGCACAGTGGCTCACACCTGCAATCCGAGGACTTTGGGAGGCTGAGATGGGGGGGATGATCGCTTGGGGCCAGGCTTCAACACCAGCCTGGGCAAGACCCCATCTCTACATTACAAAAAAAAAAATAGCCAGGTGTAGTGGTACGGGCTTGTAGTCCTAGCTATTCAGGAGGCTGAGGCAGGAGGATTGCTTGAGCGCAGGAGTTTGAGACTGTAGTGAGCTATGATTGTACCACTGCACTTCAGCTTGGGTGACAACAAGACCCTGTCTCTGAAAAATATACATAGGCAAATATTCATGCTTCAATTTTTTTTCCTTAGTGAATTCTTACCTCCCGTGTCTTTCGCTTGATTTACAAAATTGATCACAACAATATTTTTAAAAATAGATATAATTATAGTGATGCCAGAATTTAAGAAGTAATTAAATGGTAGCTTTAATCAGAAAGGTGCAAATTAGGGAATAGGTAGATATAGATAGGAAAAATAGGTTGTAGAGACTGGCTGTAGCTTAGATCTTTGAGCATTGTTTTCAATCTTAATTTTCTTCTAAGGGGTACTGTGATATCAGCAACTACTTATTAGATGGGTTTGTCTTATTCTTTCCAGGAAAAACATGAAAGTACAGTTGTTCTTGAAAGAATTGGCTAGATTCGTCTATTTTAATAAATACTTGTTAATAACTTATTCTTAATAGGCAGCATTTAATTGATTTTTTTATCTGTCAATCTAAATTTTAGGAAGTTACTCACATAACGTCGTAAAAAATATTGGTAAAAAATGATAAAATGCGGCCGGGAGCGGTGGCTCACGCCTGTAATCCTAGCACTCTGGGAGGCCGAGGCGGGTGGATCATTTGAGCTCAGGAGTTCGAGACCAGCCTGAGCAACAGCGAGACCCCGCCTCTACTAAAAATTAGAAAAAAATAATTGGACAGCTAAATATATATAGAAAAAATTAGCCGGGCACTGTGGCATGTGCCTGTAGTCCCAGCTACTCGGGAGGCTGAGGCAGAAGGATCACTTGAGCCCAGGAGTTTGAGGTTGCTGTGAGCTAGGCTGACTCCACGGCACTCACTCTAGCCCAGGCAAAAGAGTGAGATTCTTCCTAAAAAAAAAAAAAAAAAAAAAAAGGGTCTGTTAATAAAGCTGAGAAGGGGATTCTTTTATTGCTCTTTTGCTTTAACTCAGGAAAAATTTTTTTTAATGACCCTTTTCCTGTAGTAGGCACATCGATTTTTTTTTAACTTTCTATTTCACTAATCTATTTCCACTTAAATTATTATTTTTCAAAAATGATAAAACCTCCTTATAGCCACGAAATAACTACAAGGACTAACGCTACCTGTTTGTTAAAAAAAGACAAAGTAAAAATACCCTACCACACATCTTGCCCAAAGACACTAAAGAACCTACTCCCTGCATCCTGCTTACACATAAGACCAAAAAAAAAAAACCCATTCTTAACCCCAAGCTCATTATACTCTTAATACTAAAATCGCCACCCTAAAAGAGGCTTATATGCCAATTTTTAGTCATACAGCATAGGTGCCAATATAATTTCTCACTGCACTTAAATGCCCTACACTGCACCCGAAATATATAATACTCACACAGTTCATATATTATTCATTTCACTTCTAAAAAGAACCCTGAGCCCATCAGTCAGAGAGACAGATTTAAGACAATCTGGTCCTCCCACCTTCTGGTTGACATCCTCCACAATAAATTTTCTTTCTTCCTTGACAGTCCTCATTGTCTCTATAATTAACTTTCTATACGGTAAACAACAAATCCTAGAAAAACCCCCTTTGCGGATTCATTAACAGATCTATTCCAAATAATGCCTCTCTCAGATAAAATCCATCATCTCTATGGAAATCTATCTTCAATTTAGTTATTTTCTGAAAGATGTTTATCTCAAAGTGGCTTCGATATGATGTCTAGTGTAATTCCATTAGATTTATAGCATTAGTATTCTAATCCTAAAGTTCTATTTCTGTTCTCTAGGAAATTGGAGAATTATTACAAAAAAGGGGTGGAGAGTTTGGTGTAACTACTGGAAGGAAAAGAAGATGTGGCTGGTTGGACCTTGTTTTGCTCAAATATGCTCATATGATCAATGGATTTACTGCGTGAGTATTCTTCAGAAATATTCATTTCAGGAAATCATAGACAATTCATGACCACAGGTTTAATTTCGTGGAGAGCAAACTTGAGGTAGTACCCTAATTGGAAAATGTCACTCTTTAGCCACCAAATTGAAATTGTTGATTCAGGTAGAAGTAGGCCAAGATACAGGGAAAGGGTACGCAAGGCGAGAGACCCCAAGTTATCTTCCTAGACAGCTCAGGCTGGTAGGAAACAATCATGATACTCTTCCGTGTTTATAGAGGGAGTCAAAATAGGTGGGTAGATGGATGGATAGATGGGTAGACAGAGCAAGCACAGTGCACACATGGGGGGTGGGAGGAGTAATACGGCATAGTGATTTAGTGCATGGGCTTCCTGTCTGAGTTCCTGGATTCAAATCTCAGATCTGTGCATTGTGCTTGTGTGGCTGGGAAAGTTAATCATTCTGTGCCTCGGTTTCATCATCTTAAAATCTAGATAGTGGTATTACCTACTTCATAGAGGTGTTTTGAAAATTAGCTGAGAAATGTAGTGAGAGCTATAGCACACTTCCTGGCTCACTGAAAATGCTCAGTAAAAGTTAGTTGTTATTAACACATATACATAAATATGTAAATAAATGTATTCATATCTGTATTAACTAGGCTGAGCATCTAGCAAATAGCAGAAAAAAGGATAAAAATTTATGGGTGAGAATCCCAAACCTAGTGTTTTATCTAATTTCCACAGATTTTCCTTTAAAAACCTGTTTTTCAGTCAGTTAATTGGGAAAATTCTGATGTATCATGAAGAGGTCCTTGATGTGGTTTTCTCACTCTGCTTTGACTATTTCTGACCACAGGGGTGGGGGTGATGATAACCAGAGTGAAGAATTGAGGGATGATGGCATGTGTGTAAATGTACATGTATCTTGAGATCATCCATGTGGAACAGGGAGTTCTGCTGTGTCCCACAGCCACAGAGTGCATCCTTGACTGCAGGCAGCCCTCCTGCAAATATGTGTTGTTAATCAGTCACAGCAAAGCTAAGCAAGAGTGTGTGGATCCACCAGTGAAATCTGTTATAATTACTAGAAGAGTAACTCTGGTGGGTCAGTTGAGTCCCTTTTTTATTATCAAGAATATATTGCAGTACATTGTCCTCTAGTGTTATATGTGTGGCACGCTTTATAATTTAATTCTAACCAGTTTTCAGAGTTGCTTTGGAACTTTCAGCTTTGCATGAATTTTTCTTTATTTCCCTCATCAATCAAATTAGACGTTAGGGCCTTTAAGAGTTTGCTATTTTAACAATACCTTTTCTTCCAAAATTAGGTTGGCACTTACCAAGTTGGATATTTTGGACAAGTTTACAGAAATCAAAGTTGGAGTTGCTTACAAGTTAGATGGTGAAATCATACCTCATTTCCCAGGTACTTATTTAGGCATTATCTAAAGGGTATTATAAAGTGAATGTATTAGAGCAATTTCATAAAGCTCTTTGGTATAATTTCTGATATATAGATAGCCACAGGCTTGAGATGCCCTTTGTGAACAGTGCAGGTATGTTTGCTTATTTTTAGCATTTGGTTCATGGCTGCTATACATGTAGGTGCTGGGTCACAACAGGCATGTGCTCAAACTCAACATAGGAGAGAATGAACGTGGTACCTATGAGCACAGCTGTGCTGTGCCTGAGTCTCATTTTCCCTGTCGTGAAGGTAATTTCCATGGATGTGTTTCTTCCTCCCTAGGGAACTGGGGTAAGAGACAAGTGCCCTGCCTGCCTTGGTAAGCTGGCTGGTGCTCAGCACATTAACCCACCTAGCCTTCAAGCCCCATGAAGGATTTTCTCTAACCTCTATTCTGTGCCTAAAGTGGGTGGTTATAGAGAGACTTCCTCCTTGAAGCAATGTGTTTTTTCAGGGATATCTTTAGTTATATGATTTCTTCAGTTACTCAGGAAGTTACATAAATGTTTCCAGCTTCCAGAACTAGAGACTGTTCATTTTTTAGTTTCATCATTGAATAAGGACTAGGAATATGCTAAATGAAGGAATATTGACTAGCTTAATGTAACTTGGTGAGCTGGTAGGTTTTGTGACTTCCTAATGACAACAGTTCTTAGGAAGTGAGGATAGCTGTAAGTTCTTAGAAGTTAAACGTGTATTCTTTCCTTTTCACTTACAGAAAAAAGATATCTGTTGACATCATAGGATAATATTCACTTAGAAAACTGGTTGTTCCAGTGTATGTTATGTCCTGGTTCTTAATTCTATTTACAAAGTATTTCAAGAGTTATGAACTCAAACACCAAAGAGAATAGTATAACCAAATACAGTGACATGTGACAAGGTCTACCACAGAAACCATTACAGCAAATTCTTTTAATTAAAATATTAAAAGCTGACAAAACAGATAAAACTTGTCAATTTTAAGAATTTGTTTTTAAAGCTGAGTTAGCTATTTTTTGTCAGGTTCCCCTGAAACACTCTGAGATGGAGATTTGCATCTAAGAAGTTTATTCTTGAATGCTTTCAACAACATCACTTGTGAAACAAGCAGAGGGACTAGTTGAAATGTGATACAGCCTATTCCATGGGGTGCCATAGAGCTAGGATGGCCGTTTAGAGCTGTCCCAAATTGAGTCAGGTAGTCAAAATTTATACCTCAGCAACTAGTCAGAAAATGAGGACTGTCCCTTGGACGAGGTAGCCCCCTTTGGCCAAAGGCAGTTCCTGGGGGCCAGGGGCGCAGGTTGGAGTGGTGCAGTGAACTATGGAGTCATCAACATGCATTACTCCCTCCCAGCTGCAGGGGAGTGCCCCTGTCTTAAAGGAGGTATTCTGGGTACCACACCACGATATTGTCCACTCTTGTGCCGGCTGGATGTTTTTACATTGTAAAATAAGTTGACTACCATCTGAGACTAGCTCCTGAGAGATTCTGGCTGTTGTCTTTCCTAGGGAAACTTAGAAGAGGAAGGTTAGTGGTAGAAATTAACCCCTACTGTGGCTATCACAATAGAAGCAAGAGTCTCATTAAACTTTAAGCTAAGGTTGTGCCCTGTGATATTGGATTTCGGGTACCAAAAGCCAGATGACAAGGAATGGAGTCAATGGAAGAGGTAAATTGATCATCGAGAGGAGGTTAGGGCCATTATTCCACAGTGTAAGTGGGGAAGGATATGTTTGGCACCTGGATGATACTTGGGCATCTGTGGTATTCCCCTGCCCTTCATTGACAGCAAATGGACTAATGAATCAGAATCAGCCAAGGTCTGAGGAGGGCATGGGGAACAGACTCAGACCCCTCAGGATGTGGGTCTCAACCCCCAGTTGATGCTGATTATCTGATTATCTTCTTCTGCTACTGATTCTAGATTCCCTTCATACTCAGCTAACACATCTACTGGTACAGGTGGCTTTCCTGGTGAAATGTGTTTTTCAAAGGCTTATTTTTCTACTATAATAGGCCAAGAAACCAATATGGGGGTTCTGGCACCTACCAAGTATGTTTATTCCAGTTTTATATTCAGTGACTGGAGAAATGACTATTGGGTGAATCTGAATCCAGTCAACTCATGATGAGCTAGACTTGGGCTAAGTTTCATTTATTATTTGGCTCCATTATTAACAGGGGTCCCATGGTGTCAGTGTTAGCTTGAACTTTGGGTCTAACGGTCCTCAAAAATGACTGGTTATTCTCCTTTCCTTGATAATACGGTGGGGTATCATTACTATATACACTTGCTGTTGTATACAGTATGGTTGCAGAATCTGACTTCCTATGGATTTAGTCTCTCAGACACTGATACCCAGCTAGGAAAACTGGTTCGGGTCTGGAAATTAATGAAGTGGTCATTACTTTTCACTGGAGCATTGCCCTTAGCCCCTTGAAAATTCATCCTTGAATTTATTTTGAAACTTACTAAAGTTGATTTATAGATTAATGTCCTTGTTTATTACCTATCTTGCTTCTAACTGGCTCCTTATCTCTCTCTCTCTCTGATGGTCAAGCCTTCTTTGCTGTCACTCTGCTGCCACTCATGATGGTATTAATAATTAAGCCCACCTTGCTTCTCAAGGTTTAAGTGCTGCTGCCTGGCCTTTATTCTTTGGGGATCCTGTCATCTCCATTGCTTTTCATGTATCTCAGTCTCATAGTGGCCTCTCCTTCCATCAGCTTTTGGGTTTAGAGGGTAGTCATCACTGAGCTTTTCAACAGTATTGCTGCCCTTTTCACCAGTGCAAGTGTTAGCCCTTTGCTAAAGAGTTCCTTCTAGACACTCCCACGTCATTTTGTCCACTGGTGGATTTTCTGGCCTTAGTTTCTCTTTTGTTATATGTATGTTAGACTTTTTGATATCATCCCATCAGTCCTTGAGGTTCATTTTACTTTGTTTCTCTTTTCTTTAGATAATTTTTATTGATTACTCGTTCTTCTACCCTTCTCCAAATATGCTTTTAAACCCATCTAGTGAATTATTATTTCCAGAATTTCTATTTGGATCTTTTCTGTACTTGCTATTTCTCTACGGTAGAGATTATGTACCTGTCCACTCACCAATAATGAAATCTTTTTGATTTATTTTAGCTACTTTTTTTTTTCCCTATTAGTCTGACATCTGGGCCATCTTGAGTTGGGTTTCTTTTGACTATTCTTTTTCTTGAGTGTAGATGGCTGTTTCTATAGCTAATGACTTTTGATTGATTATTGGACATTGTGGATGATATGTTATAGAGACTCAGATTCTGTTATCTTCTTCTGAATATAGTTAATTTTAGGGGGACAATTGAATTATTGACTGATTATCTTGAATTTGTATAGCTTGGGGTTTTGTGCTTTGTTAGTGTGGTTATGTGGAAAACCCAAGATGTTCCCAAACCTTCCTACCCTGGAATGTCAGTCTCCAGATTCTCTCTCTTCTGTGGATTTTGGCAGAGCTTGGTTTTAGACCTCATTATGGGGTAAGTTTGTAGTAGGTTCTACTCAAGGGTATGGTTTTTATTCTTAGGGAGCAGCCTTTCTGTTGTATCACCTGGATGCCAGGAGAGTTAACAAGGTATGTTAATGAAATCTCTCCAGGTCAGCAGTGCTGGAGCTCTAGTATGTCCTGTCCCTTCCTTTCCACCCACACTGCTTGACTCAGAGTCTTTATCCCTCCCTCAGCTGTGTAGCAGCTGATGTCTAGTAAGCCTCCAATAATCCCACTCTTTGCATGTAGAGTCCTACCTTAGCCTTGGGGCTCTCATGCAGGCTCCTGGCAGTGGGGGTATCCTCTCTGATACCTAACCCTGCTGATTATAGCTGTTTCAGCTTCCCTGAAGTCAGACATCCACATCCCCAGGTCAGGGGAGCTGCCATTCTCTGTTGACTCCAGTGTCCTGAACTGTAGTCAGGAAATTGTCCCTAGGCAGAAGGTTGAGTGACTTCAGGACATGCTTGTGAGTTTTCTCCCTCAGGGACCATGGTTTCGTGCTGCCTGTAGTCAACTTCCTAAAAAAAGCTGTTATATATTTTGAGAGCTAGTCTGGAACTGTTCTATTTTATCACGACTAGAAATGGAAGCCCCACTGAGTCTCTAAATTCCTCCTACCATGTATCGCAGCAGTTCTGGCATATCACTTAGTATGATTCATCACTTTTTCTAAGCCGCCAAGAACATCCCTAGCAGTGTGTTTTCATCTCTCTGTCATGCGTCGTGGTATGCTATACTCCCATACCAATGGCCTCTGATTCAACTTTGTTCCACCGCCTGCTGCTCGCCTTGATCAGGACCCCTCAGGATCCAGTTCCTTACTTACTCTCTTGATGCTTACTGGTAAATGTTGGCTCGCTCCCGCAGATCTTTTAGAACATAGTCCCTTTCCTCCCTTAACAGGCCCACACTTCCTTAGCCAGGTTACGTTGGGGTCTGACCTTAGATACTGTTTGCTGGCAAGGCAGGAAGGTAAAGGTAGGTCTGAGACCGGCACGTGCTGACTTGCAAGGCAGAGGCCTCTGCGTCATCTTAAAGCAATGGAAAGCCTTAGCCTTTAATAAGAAATTGTGGGACATTCTGCAGACCCAAAGAGTTCAGTGAATCTGGTGACTCAGGATTTTCGAGTGCATCAACCCCAGATGCTCCATCCAAAGTCTCAGGGTCCCACTTTTTCCCAACCAGGGCTCTGGCCTTGTCATGGCAGACTTGTTGAATTTGAGAATTCAGCATTTTCTGGAACTCTGCTAAATGTATGATCGAGTTCCCATTCTAATCATCTTTTTCTGCTCTCTGCTACAGAAGATGAGAGTCTCTCTAAATGCTGCCAGGAAGGCCCTGTGACTTTCACGCTTTGCTTTAAACTGATGAAAGACTGTTAGTCTTTTATTGTCTTCTCCAGTTCGTGAATGGTATTCATCAAGAGCCATCCAATTTCATTATTCCATTGTGCTCATTTCTCAATGCCTCAGATATTGCCAGTGCCTTACTTTCCACCAGTATGGCATGAAGAGTTTTAGAAATTGTATTTCTGCAACATGTCAGAGGCTGTCCATGCTCTGCGTACCACCAGCGGCAGTCCTCATGGCCAGCCAGCTGGCCAGTGATTGAGCCTCTTAGTTCCCATGTTAGAGCCATCTTCCTCAGACACTCCTGGTGCCAGCTGTCTTACACTGAGTTCCCTAGCTAGGCAAGACTGGTATAGTTGCATAAAAAAGCCTTCAGCTGATCCCCTGGGGAACTCTGGAGCTAGAATAGCCCTTCAGATTGGTCCCAAGTTAAGGCAAGTGGCCAGGTTGTTTGTATTCCCACATCAACAAGTTATTAGATATGAGCTGCTCCAGGGTGGCAGTCTCTTCAGTGGAGGGTGAGTCCTAGGGAGGCTCTGAACTGTGAGTGGTCAGCAGACAAAAATTCCCCTAGCTCTCAGTCTTGAAGAGAAATCTGTACCGTGTCCCATAGCAGCCACTGTATTGTCTGTCAAAGAAACTATTCTTAATTATCTACAGTACATTTTCAGTTTCCATTAGGGGATACAGAGAAAATGGTTAGGTGGAATAATGTAGAAAATTTCAGTCGAAACAATAGAAGATCTCTCATAAGAGAGCAGGCATGTAAGTCGTCTTTCTGTGCAGTTGCTGTTATTGTGCAGATCCATAATCCCTAATGGGTAGTATAGAAATTCAAAAAGCTCTAAAAATGAAAAGTTTTAAGTTTGGTACCAAAACTCCTTTGACAGCAAAACGTGACTTGAACTAATGTTAGAATTACATAATCTGTATCCACTTATAGTGAATGATCGTGTGTTGCTACAGAAATATGGTTGATTATAGAATACTACCCCAGATGGTATATGCACTGTTTTACCTTTCTAAAACCTGAAGAATTCTAAATTCCAAAACATATCTGGCTATAAGGATTTCAATAAGAGATTGTGAACATGTGGTATATCAAAAAGTTTTTTGATAATAGGCAGTATATACCATGAACAAATACACTCTTTAACTTTTAGCAAAACAAGAAATCTTAAATAAAGTTGAAGTTCAATATAAGACTCTGCCAGGATGGAACACAGACATATCCAATGCGAGAACGTTTAAAGATCTACCTGTTAATGCACAAAATTATGTTCGATTTATCGAAGATGAGCTTCAAATTCCAGGTAAACAAACATTTTATGAGCAGCTGTCTTTACTTTTCTACTTTTAATTTACCTATCTGCCTTTGAAATAGAATAAAGGAAAGATCATTATTATTTCGCAATAATGCTCATGATTTGCATAAGTGCCCAGGAAAATATAAAATAATAATTTTATTCCTTAGAGTAGATACAGTGTTCATCTTTAATAGAAGAAAATAAATTACCTCTCACCCTTTCTGACCTTGTCTCTAATTCCGTTAGCCTGTTTTTTACCCTGTGACATTTGTTCTCGTTCCTTTCTCCGTAATAACAAATCCGCCTATATCTTCACCACGACCAAAAATGCTTTATGGATTTTTTTATTTGGGTTAAATCACCCTTGAGAGTTGGGAGAGTTTCTTGAATAGACATTAGGAAATAATAGGTACATAAAATTGGAGATCTTACTAGAAAAAAATGTGAGGAAAGAATAAATAACGTATAAAACTCGTATGTTAAAAAACAAATATAAGATGGCCAAGGAGTTAGACATAGCAAAGTTATAGCTATATCTAGTTATTTGAAGTCATTGTTTTAACATATTGCTTTTTCCTTTTATCCTTTTATTTGCATTGATGGAAATTCGAAAGATGAGAAAAAGTGAAGTGGGTGGGAACTATCTTCCGTGTAAAATCCATTATGTACTTGTTTTGATTTTGTATTTGTGGTTCATTTCAAACATGACTTATGTTTTTTTTTTTTGGAGACAGAGTCTTACTCTGTTGCCCAGGCTAAAGTGCCGTGGTGTCAGCCTAGCTCACAGCAACCTCAAACTCCTGGGCTCAAGCGATCCTCCTGCCTCAGCCTCCCG